ATATGATGTTCATGCTACTATAAACATCCTTAAATTTGTTATCCAGGCTTAAGCTTATAAATCAATCAACGGTAAGGACCTATTAAAATGAATATTTTGGACTTGTTGTCACGAATGAGTCAACACCCAAGTCAAGAAGAGAGACGTTTTGTGATTAATGCATTTAAATACATTACTAATAACTAAACATTATTTTTGGTTATACTTATACTATATTGAACTCTTTTGGTTTAGTACACAGTGAATTTTTAGAAGTTAATTTCGTTAATTTTTTTTTCCTTCGATATAGTCCTTTCCTTCGACTTTATTTATCAGGGGTCGCTACGGTGAAATAAACCACCAAACTATCCAGCAAATGTTTTATGCAGCGGAATCCCTTCCAGCTGCAACCCAGTAGGAAACACCCATACACTTTCACATACACTACGGTCAATTTAGTTTATTCAATTCACCAATAGCGCATGTGTTTGGACTGTGGGGGAAACTGGATCATCTGGAGGAAACCCAAACGAACACAGGGAGAACATGCAAACTCCACACAGAAATTTCAACTGACCCAGCCTGTCAGGGTTCTGCCACTTTGGTCTTGTAAATTCTTGTTTTGGTGGCAGAGCTCTGACACTACTCCACGTCTGGTCCTGTTTCTGTCTCTGTGTGCGCGCGCGCGCCGTCGTGGGTGTACGCAGAGTGTGCGCGCTGCCACTTGATGTGGCCGCGCACGCTCTGCGTCCCTCAGACGCGCGCGCTCTTGTACTAGTGTTTGTGTTTGTTCTGTCAGCAGCGCGCTGCTTTATTCTCGGCGCCTCCGTCTAGTTGGTTTCAGTTTTGGTTGGCGCTGAGATGAAGCATGCGCGTTGCTTATGTGTGAGCGCACGGTAAGGTATTTATCTATCGTGTGCTCGTGTCTTGCGTCTCTTGTCAAAGCACGTGGCTTGGTGTTTACATTGTGGTCACGTGCTTTTGTCGTGTGCTTCAGTGTTGCGTTATGTGAGCGCATGGCTTGTATTGTCTCTCTGTGTCATGCGCTCTCCCGTCTATTGTCTAGTCCCACCCTCCTTGTTAACCCATATTTAGTTAATTGTGTTCACCTGTGTTTCAATTTACTTTTTTGCTTTATAATCCCCCTCATGTTTTCAGTCCTTTGTCAGTTCGTCGTCGATATTACCTTGTCTTGTTGTCTCCAGTCCTGTTTTGTCCTGCCAGCCCTGTCAAGTTTGTTTTTGCCTTTTTAATTCATGTTTTCCCCTTCGGGGTAGTTTTGTTTTGCCTTTTATTTTTATTTGTAGTTTATAATAAATATTTCTAAATTTTTTCTGCAATTGGGTCTGCACTCCTTTTTTTTTCCCTCACCGACCGTGACAGTACGAACTGACCATAATGAGGACCCAGCAGAAGGATGACTCCTTCCTCAGCCACATGCCACAGCTTCTCCATCTGCATGCACTGCGGCAACATGGCTCTGAGCTAAAGGAGTTTGCGGAGAGGTTCCGTATGGCAGCAGAGGGGCTTGGGTTCAATGACTGGGCTCTTTTGAATCTCCTGAACTTCGCTCTTGATAAACCCCTCTATCCTCTGCAGATACAGAGATTGGTGGGCTACTCGTACAAACAGTTTGTGGACCATATGGTTAATCAAGTTGCCCATGAATGTCGTCAGGAGAGAATCTGCTCTGTTCTTCCACCAACAGACCAACCTGAACCCAGCTCACTGCTGCCTCCCACAGAGAAGAGGAAACTGAGGAGGAGGAACAGGTCTTCCTCTATTGTTACCCCTCTATTGGTGACGGAACCTGCTGCAGCCCACCCAGCTACAACACTGGCTGCAGCATCACCCAGTGAAGCACCCGCAACAGACACTGCATCAGTCCAGCAGGCAGTGGAGTATGCTGCAGTGTCTGAAGAGGTGGCCAGCTTCCCGCCACCCAGACCAAGGAAGCGTCGGAGGAGAAAGGGCTCCTCCACCACAACGGCTCCAGCCCCTGAGCGCCCTCCAGTGTCGGCTCCAGCCCCTGAGCGCCCTCCAGTGTCGGCTCCAGCCCCTGAGCGCCCTCCAGTGTCGGCTCCAGCCCCTGAGCGCCCTCCAGTGTCGGCTCCAGCCCCTGAGCGCCCTCCAGTGTCGGCTCCAGCCCCTGAGCGCCCTCCAGTGTCGGCTCCAGCCCCTGAGCGCCCTCCAGTGTCGGCTCCAGCCCCTGAGCGCCCTCCAGTGTCGGCTCCAGCCCCTGAGCGCCCTCCAGTGTCGGCTCCAGCCCCTGAGCGCCCTCCAGTGTCGGCTCCAGCCCCTGAGCGCCCTCCAGTGTCGGCTCCAGCCCCTGAGCGCCCTCCAGTGTCGGCTCCAGCCCCTGAGCGCCCTCCAGTGTCGGCTCCAGCCCCTGAGCGCCCTCCAGTGTCGGCTCCAGCCCCTGAGCGCCCTCCAGTGTCGGCTCCAGCCCCTGAGCGCCCTCCAGTGTCGGCTCCAGCCCCTGAGCGCCCTCCAGTGTCGGCTCCAGCCCCTGAGCGCCCTCCAGTGTCGGCTCCAGCCCCTGAGCGCCCTCCAGTGTCGGCTCCAGCCCCTGAGCGCCCTCCAGTGTCGGCTCCAGCCCCTGAGCGCCCTCCAGTGTCGGCTCCAGCCCCTGAGCGCCCTCCAGTGTCGGCTCCAGCCCCTGAGCGCCCTCCAGTGTCGGCTCCAGCCCCTGAGCGCCCTCCAGTGTCGGCTCCAGCCCCTGAGCGCCCTCCAGTGTCGGCTCCAGCCCCTGAGCGCCCTCCAGTGTCGGCTCCAGCCCCTGAGCGCCCTCCAGTGTCGGCTCCAGCCCCTGAGCGCCCTCCAGTGTCGGCTCCAGCCCCTGAGCGCCCTCCAGTGTCGGCTCCAGCCCCTGAGCGCCCTCCAGTGTCGGCTCCAGCCCCTGAGCGCCCTCCAGTGTCGGTCCCAGTCCGGCTCCTTGCCCTGCCGGCATCAACCAGACGTCTAGCCCTGCCGGCACCAGCCCGGCTCCTTGCCCTGCCGGCGCCACCCAGACGTCTTGCCCAGCCGGCCCCAGCCCGGCTCCTTGCCCTGCCGGCGCCACCCAGACGTCTTGCCCTGCCGGCGCCACCCAGACGTCTTGCCCAGCCGGCCACAACCCGGCTCCTTGCCCTGCCGGCGCCACCCAGACGCCTTGCCCTGCCGGCGCCACCCAGACGCCTTGCCCTGCCGGCGCCAACCAGACGTCTAGCCCTGCCGGCATCAGCCCGGCTCCTTGCCCTGCCGGCGCCACCCAGACGTCTTGCCCTGCCGGCGCCACCCAGACGTCTTGCCCAGCCGACCCCAGCCCGGCCCCTTGCCCTGCCGGCACCACCCAGACGTCTTGCCCTGCCGGCCCCAGCCCGGCTCCTTGCCCTGCCGGCACAACCCAGACGTCTTGCCCTGCCGGCCCCAGCCCGGCTCCTTGCCCTGCCGGCGCCAACCAGACGTCTAGCCCTGCCGGCACCAGCCCAGCTCCCTGCCCTGCCGGCTCCCCTCTGGTCTCCAGCCCTGCCGGCTTCAGCCCAGCCGCTTCTAGCACAGCCGGCTCCCCACAGGCCTCCAGCCCAGCCGGCTCCCCACCGACCTCCTGCCTTGTCTCCCCTGATAGACTCTCCCTGGGTCGTCCCTCCTGCTCCTCCCTGGTGTTCCTTTCCTCCACCCTGGACGGACCCACCGGCTCCACCCTGGTTCCCTGCTGGGGCTCCTGACCCGCTGGACCCACCCTGGACAGTTCCTCCGGTCCCACCCTGGACTGATCCTCCCTTGTCTTGCCCTCCCATCCCTCCCTTGTTTGTCGTTTTGGGTCTGGCTTGGCTTCCCTCCCTCCCCCCCTTCATGTCGCCTTGCCTGTTCACCTCCCTGTCTTGTGTCTGTTGATGTTGCCAGTTTTGTTGTCTTGTAGTGTTTCTTGTCTGTCTTGTACCTTGTTGGATGTTCCCTTTAGGGACGCCAGGTGGCGTCCCTTTTGGGGGGGGCTGGTGTCAGGGTTCTGCCACTTTGGTCTTGTAAATTCTTGTTTTGGTGGCAGAGCTCTGACACTACTCCACGTCTGGTCCTGTTTCTGTCTCTGTGTGCGCGCGCGCGCCGTCGTGGGTGTACGCAGAGTGTGCGCGCTGCCACTTGATGTGGCCGCGCACGCTCTGCGTCCCTCAGACGCGCGCGCTCTTGTACTAGTGTTTGTGTTTGTTCTGTCAGCAGCGCGCTGCTTTATTCTCGGCGCCTCCGTCTAGTTGGTTTCAGTTTTGGTTGGCGCTGAGATGAAGCATGCGCGTTGCTTATGTGTGAGCGCACGGTAAGGTATTTATCTATCGTGTGCTCGTGTCTTGCGTCTCTTGTCAAAGCACGTGGCTTGGTGTTTACATTGTGGTCACGTGCTTTTGTCGTGTGCTTCAGTGTTGCGTTATGTGAGCGCATGGCTTGTATTGTCTCTCTGTGTCATGCGCTCTCCCGTCTATTGTCTAGTCCCACCCTCCTTGTTAACCCATATTTAGTTAATTGTGTTCACCTGTGTTTCAATTTACTTTTTTGCTTTATAATCCCCCTCATGTTTTCAGTCCTTTGTCAGTTCGTCGTCGATATTACCTTGTCTTGTTGTCTCCAGTCCTGTTTTGTCCTGCCAGCCCTGTCAAGTTTGTTTTTGCCTTTTTAATTCATGTTTTCCCCTTCGGGGTAGTTTTGTTTTGCCTTTTATTTTTATTTGTAGTTTATAATAAATATTTCTAAATTTTTTCTGCAATTGGGTCTGCACTCCTTTTTTTTTCCCTCACCGACCGTGACACAGCCAGGGCTCAAACCAGCATGAGCTTGCTAAACACTGAGCCACTGTGCCACCTCGGAGTTAATTTGGTTATAGAAAATTATTTTCACACATAAAACCCTGTACTGAACAGAAATAAAAACACTATTAATGATAAGAAAATACAGTTGTATTTCGTCTATTGAATATAAACAGCAAACCTCAGCCTCTTGATAATCAGTGTGAATAATTCTGATGATTAATCTGTTCATATATGTGATTTCAGAAAACAGCAGCAGATGGTAAGCGTCAGGAGATCATCATTCTGGATTCCAAAAGAAGTAATGCTATCAACATTGGCCTGACGGTCCTGCCGCCTCCTCGCACCATCAAAACAGCCATCCTCAACTTTGATGAGTACGCCTTGAGCAAAGAGGGCATAGAGGTAATCCTGCACTGCTTTACAATCACATTCCTTTTTGCAAATTATGACAACTCACTAGAAATAATGAAGCAAATGATGAAATTATTAAGAAAAGCTACAATAAAACTCAATACATACATTGAAGTTATAAAGCTAGTACAATGCATGGTTGCACTTTAATTGTGAGAACGCCAGACTGGTTACAATGCAGAAAACACATCTGTACTTAATACTAACCTTGTTTTGAGTCCACATGAGTCTCATACTCCTTGAACCTCTCTACGGCTCGCTTTCTCCCTCTCCTTCTCTTTCTCTCTCTTGTTACATCAATCATTCAGGTATTTATGATCATCCACAGACTGCTACATGAAAGCACTTTTTTACCACAAAATGCATGGCTTTCTACAACTGTGTTCAACAAGACAGAGACATACCGATTGTAGTTGTGTTGGCAAACTAATGCATCTAGTCAAAACTGTCCAAAATACCTTGACCTCTCTGCCCTGAGTGCATTTACGTTTACTTTGGATTTCCGCAAAACCAATAGATTTTTACACTGAAAACTAATGTTTAGCAAGCTGGTTTGGCTGGCAGCTGAAACTATTATGTGGGTTTCCTGCAAACTGAAGCATTTTTGACAGCGACCATAAAATTCATCTCAAAGATTAAAAGTTAACCAAATGCTTAATTTAGGCCGTTGCAGCCTATGATAAAGATCTGAGGTAAATGTTTCAATATCAACACATGAATAATGGAGCTCCTATTTTGTTATAAAAGCTTTAATTTAATCTTTCGTCATAAGAAATGAATTAGAGTGTTTCTCTTCATCCTTTTCATCTCTGCAGAGAGCGATGCTTTCTCACCGACACATTTTTACCACATAATTACCTTTTTGCTTCACTATTCAGTTATGAGGTTTCCCCTAGCCCATAAAATAGTCAGCATTTTATACATTTTTGTGCAGTTGTCTCTCTAGGTGTTGTTATTCATCAACACGAAGATGATTCATGGAGCAAATGCCTTTCTAGAGGTGATGCTCCATATACAATGGTTTCTGACAGTGATACTAACACTCCCTGCTGGGTCTCGTGCTCTTTCATAGAAAATCCTCACCATGATTCCTACGGAGGAGGAGACACAGAAGATTCAGGAGGCCCAGCTGGCGAACCCCGACACTCCGCTGGGCAGCGCAGAGCAGTTCCTCCTCATTTTGTCCTCCATCAGTGAGCTGTCCGCCCGCCTGCAACTCTGGGCCTTTAAGATGGACTATGATGCTTTAGAGAAGGTCAGCCATGTGTTCTGATTCTCCTCTGAAGGGCTAGTCACTCTATACATGCACTTTTCATTCCTTTGACCTCCATTAATACATGTTTGAATGCTAGAGACCTGAAAAAGTGAAATTATTTTGCATTCCAAGTTTGATAATTTCGTCTAAGCTGAATTAAAGCAATGTAATCTTTAAATCTACAGTATTGCAGCATTGGGAGCTATTCACACAGAACATCTTATTTTCCCTATTTCAATATGCTGTTTTTATGTTTTTATATGTATGTGCGATACCAAAAAACTCAATAACTCATGTGTAACACATTATCATCTTCTAAATTTCTAAATAATCATATTTATAATCAAAATGTATTTTTTATTTTACAAATTTGTTCGAGTGGTTACAGTCTTGTGGTTTGCATTTGAATGGTGGAACCAATTACTCATTTACAATAATGAGATCAGTAAAGAATAATTTTTATTACAGATTATAAAACCACATGGTATTTTGTTTTCAAGTGTACGAGTAACCTAGTTAAATAGTATTTCTGATGCAGCCAAAGACAATACAATACAGACACATCACTAGTACAGATTGAAATGGGGAAGAAGGAACAGACCCTGTAGCAAAATAAGTTCCGTCTAGTGAAGGAGCCAATCATTAATTGCAGTAGACTGACGATTCTCTGGATGTGGGGCTAAGTCCAAATGTGTGTTCTTTACAGTAGTTTGTGCAGCTTCACTGTTATGTAAGCTGCGGTCAGCAAACACAGAAATCTTAGTGAATACTTGCCTTATAGACATATGTCGAGAAACATATACACAAAAGGCTTGAAATCTCTTTTACTTTTAAATTAGCCAGCTACAAATGAAAACAACTGACAATGGCCACAAACTTGTAAACAAATAGGTCAATGTAATTTTGGGGGAAGATTTAACATCAGGAAAAGTTGAAAATGCATCAGAAAACAAGACCGATTATTCAGAGGATGATATTATGTAACATGGAAAATATTGATTCTTATGGTTGCTTCATACTTTAGTTTGATTAACAGCATGACATCTGATCACATTCTTCAGAAACAGCCATAAAAGGGGTTGCAGGTTGGTGAACTCTTTCCCTTTGTGTGAGCATGCACGTTATCTTGGGCAACATAAAAAATAAATACTTTTTAAATGATTTCCACATTTTGAAAAGAAATTTAATTAAATTTCATTGGTGATTCCAAATATGAATTTTAATTGTAAGCTTATCAAACTGTTTTAGAGAGTTTGATGTTTCTCCTGTTAAAAGAGATAGGAGCTGCACTTGCATGATTGAGAGGTGTTTGAAAGATGGCTACCAAGACAAATGACTTGCCTTGTAGGGACTTTGACCTCCACCACTTTTTAAAAAAAAATAAGCACTGCATCTTGTGTTTTTAAACACAAAGATGCATTCTGTGTGAATGGCATGGTAACAACTGACTTTTGCGGAATCCATAGAAATTTAGTGTGACCGGGGCTTAATGCAAATGAAATGACATCATGATGATTTGGGGTTGATTGTGTTTAACCTTTCTTATGCTCCAATGTCAGCAAGGAATCTTAACTAGTGGGTTGTGACCTTAAAGGTCTGTTCTGATAGATCAATGCTAATTGCAACTAATAAAATAAAACTTAACCATGCAGTCATGCATCATTAAGATTTTCCAATCAAACATAGTTCATATGACATGCTCAGCCACATTTTTAGGAATCTTTAATAGATGTAAAGTTAAAAGGAACTGTAGAATTTTTTAAATATATATTTTCTTATTAGTGTCACTTTTAAACATATCATCATGTCCTTGTTCAATAAAAGTACACATTTCTTTTAAAAGAAGAAAACACAATTGTGTATATCATCATTATTGTTAAATAAAGCTTACAGCATTATAAAAATATATATCAAATGATCTATAATATACCAGCATAAGTCCTAGCTCGTGGTTTATTATTTATTATTTGTTTTAAATCAATGTTAAGAGGATGGGGTTTTTTATTGTATGGTGAATAGTTTTACTACGTTGTTGGCACAGCATTTAAAGTTGAGTTTGCATACATAATTTCTTTTCTAGAGACTATTTCTAATCCATTCTGCCTATCTCTCTCCTTTAGGAAGTAGCAGAACCACTACAGGACCTAAAAGAGGGCATGGACCAATTAGAAAAGAATAAAACGTTACGCTCTATCCTTTCGACTCTGCTAGCTATTGGCAACTTTCTCAATGGGACCAATGTGAGTGCCAGAAAAGTCTCTTCTTTCAAGCTCTAATCTCTCCATCTCCATCTGTCTGTCTGCCGAATTCACTTAGATCTCAATCACGATAAAAAGACTGAAGGAGATAAACCTGATAAGGTGGTGAGTTTGGCATGAAATTTCATTTGTTACCGTAAACCATTGAACATGGGCAGCAGAACAAAGTGAGAGAAAGTCATGTCACGTCTGTGGGGATTTCTCCATTCTGCAACTGTGCCATGCCCTGTGGACCTGTGGTCAGGATTGAGATTTTGTGTAGCATGTGTTAATGAAGCATTGGCCAGAATCATCATGGGAGCTGCGCATAGACGCTGCACATGTTCAAAGTGCTCTTATCTTAATGCAACTGATGCTAATCAACTAAACTGCATCAGAATAACGTCAAAATAAGCCCTTTTTTAGGAAATGATTTGAGGATGGACCAGATCCAGTGACTAATGCTCTCAAGGTGCATGTGATTTTCCTCACCAAAGGTCATTTCATCTGCACATATTTAGACATTTAGATTTATCTGATATGAAGCTTCCATGCTTTTCCAGTAAGATTTGTCTCATGGCTGTACTTTTATTTTGTGTGTGTGTATGTGTGTATATATATGTCACACTACAGTTTTTAGAGTCACAGATTGGACTATTTTTCGAATCAGAAAAAAGGGAGGAGACAAACGTCAATTGCTTTTCAATCTAACATCTTGAACAACATATCATATTTATTTAATTAATGATTTGGCAATTTACACATGAAATGTTTAATTTACATACACATGTTTCATTATAAGTGGATCCATTTTGAAAACCTATTAGTGACATAATTTTGGGGCTCTGTTTTGATGGTCCATGCACAAAGTGCAAAGCGCAGGGCGCAAACGCAGTAAGGGCGTGTCAAAATTCACTTTTCCTAAAAAAAAAATCTACTTTGCGCAGTGGTGCATGGTCTAAAAGGGTGTTTTGAGAATAAAGTAATCTCAAAACACTCATCTCCCATTCGCTTCAAGAGTCAGTTGCATCGCACCATAGTGCATTTGCTATTTACATGACGTAAAGTAAGTGTAAGTGGAAAAACGTTCAAGGTTACAGAAGTAATCCTAAGGAAGTGCTATAGGTGGATTTGATCTAGAAAATCCACGTATGGGAGGATTCGGTTCAGAAGCCGCTTGTCTGAAAGAGTATTGAACGGGCCAATGAATTGGCAGCGTAAGCTTGCGCAGGTGTGCTTCATTGCCAATTATCCCAGCATATAACCACACCTGAAGCGAGCAAACGCCATCCTTTTAAGCTGAAGAGACTTTTAACAGCTAAGGGACAGTCATTATAGCAATGGAATATAGCACTTCCGTTCCCCTCCTCAGGGAACGAAGGGTTACTTCTGTAGCCTTGAACGTTCCCCTTCGGTTGGGGAACTCCAGTGCTATAAGTGGATTTGATCTAGAAAATCCACGTATGGTAGACTATGGAAAACGCCATAATGACTGCACCTTACCAACCCCTCCGATGATAGGGCAGTCAAGCAAGCGTGACGTACCCAAATAATGGAAGGCGCGGTCCTCCAACGTGCCCTTGGCCCTAACTTATCCCCACTTCAAAGGAAGTTTTACGGAATAGGTATATTTTTTTGGGAGTCGCTAGCATCTAGATAATTCTAGGAAATACGACAGTACGTTGGGAAGCATGCAATCCCGGTAGGGAGGACGCTACGGAGACCATCCGCACCCAATGGGGGAGACAAAATGGAAATAAATATGGACTAGCCCTAAAAGGGGGAGTGTGCATAAGAAGGTGGTTAGCGGATAGGGAAGGCATGGGTCCACCCAAGAGTGGGGACTGAACCGTGGCGGAAAAGAAATATGGGATCGCCTAGTGGGGATCGCACACAGCCGGCACCTATACCCAAAACGCGGGCTGACCAGCGGGCAGACCTACAACGTAGTGGGCCAGCAAGTGACTCCTCCGCTGAATCAGTGCTGGGGGCCACGGAGGAATCTGCAGGGCTCACCAAACGGGGAACTTTACTGACAGACATGGAGGTGCACATCTCTCCGTGTTAGGGAAAAAAGACACCGCAAGCGTGTTGCAACACCCCACCGAGTTGTTTCCTTATTCACCAAGGGTTTCCTAATACCCTTGAGGAAACGGGCTCCACTCGCAGATTGTAAAACCTATCAAATGTGTTGGGTGTCGCCCAGCCCGCAGCTCTACAGATGTCTTTTAAAGAGGCGCCGCGTGCATGCGCCCAAGAGGATGCAACGCTCCGAGTGGAGTGCGCACGCACTCCCGGGGCACACGCCTCTGAGGAACCGGATGATGCGGTTGTGTTTACCCACGGTGTCTCCAGCTACCGCGTCAAGATAAGCGGAGATGGCGGCCACGTAAACCTTGAGAGTGGAGGGCAACAGCCTGCTCTTCAGCTTCTCTTGAAGGAAAGAGAGCACAAAACTGATCTGGCAAGTTCGGGGGTCTTCTCTGCGAGAATCTCTCTATTCAGTGAATAGACTCCAATTCAGGGCGTAGGCGCACCTCGTGGAGGGGGCTCTAGCCTGAGTGATGGTATCAACCCCCGCAGATGGTAGGCTACCTAAGTCTTCCTCGCTTCTATGGACCACACGTGGAGGTTCCAGAGATCGGGGCGAGGGTGCCAGATGGAGCCCTGTCCCTGAGAGAGTAGGTCCTCTCTCAAAGGGATCCGCCAGGGGAGGGCCGTCGCGAGAAGGGAAAGCTCTTATATCCAAGTCCGGTTGGGCCGGAGGGGCGCAACTAGCAGAACCTGCTCCTCATCCTCCCTGACCTTGCACAATAACTGCGCGAGCAGGCTCACTGGGGGAAACACATACTTGCGTATGCCCCGAGGCCAGCTGTGGGCCAGTGCATCTGTGCCGAGAGAGCCCTCGGTCAGGGAAAAGAACAACTGTCAATGAGCGTTTTTGGGGGAAGCAAACAGATCGATCTGGGCCTCCCCGAATCGCGCCCATATCAGCTGGACAGAATCGGGGTGGAGTCTTCATTCTCCAAAGTGAATTTGCTGCCGTGAGAGCGCATCGGCTGCATGGTTGAGCATACCTGGGATGTAAATGGCACGCTGCGATTTCAGCCACGGGTGAGCAGACGGCGGGCGAGCTGAGATATGAGGCGAGAGCGCATACCCCTCATGTGGTTGATATATGCTGCCGCCGCCGTATTGTCCGTCCTGACCAGCACGTGTTGCTGCTCCAACACCAGAAAAAAGCGGTGGAGATCGAGGAAAACTGCCAACAGCTCTAGGCGATTGATATGCCAAATACAGCTGGGCACGTTTCCATAGGACAGCAGCTGCATGCCCACGACACACGGCTCCCCAGCCCGTGTTGGAAGCATCTGTTGAGACAACAACATGACTGGACGCCTGTCCCAGAGGCACACCGGCCTGCAGGAACGAGGGGTCGTTCCAAGGGCAGAGGGTGCGGCGACACAGCGCAGTAACAGAGACTCGGTGTGTGCCCGCATGCCATGTGCGTGGGACTCGATCTAGAAGCCAGTGCTGAAGTGGTCTCATATGGAGCAATCCGAGCGGCGTGACAGCCACAGCGGATGCCATATGCCCCTGGAGCCTCTGAAAGTATTTCAGTGGGACCACTATTTTGCTGTCGAGCTCCCTCAGACAGTTCAGCAACAGGCGAGCGCGCTCTCCGGAGAGGCGCGCTACCATGGTGACCGAGTCCAGCTCCATCCCGAGAAAAGAGATCCTCTGCACCGGGTGCGAGTTGCTCTTTTCTCGGTTGGCCTGCAACCCCAACAGGCGAAGGTGCATAGTCAATTGCTCCCGCGAGTGGGCTAAAATCATACAGTCGTCGAGATAATTGAGTATGTGGATGCCCGCGAGCCGAAGGGGCGCTGAGGCACCCTCTGCGAGTTTGGTAAAGACCCGCGGAGACAGAGAGAGCCCGAAGGGGAGGACCTTGTATTCCCACACTCGACCTTAGAACGCAAACCGCAGAAACTGGCGGTGGTGTGGAAGAATGGAGACATGAAAATACACGTCCTTCAGGTCTATGGCTGCAAACCAATCCTGAGGATAAACGCATCGGAGGATGCACTTCTGCGTAAGCATTCTGAACGGCAGCTTGTGTAGACAGCGGTTCAAAGCATGCAGATCTAGGATTGGCCGTGACCCACCGCTCTTTTTGGGTACGATGAAGTACGGGCTGTAAAACCCGCTCTCCATCACGGCTGGAGGGACCGGCTTGATTGCACCCTTCGCATCTCCTCTCGCAAGACAGGGGCGGACAGGGGGTTGACCCTGGCGAAATACCCGCCCGTGATCTTGAGGGGCCGTTTCGCGAACTGAATCGCATAGCCGAGGCTGATTGTGTGTATGAGCCACCACGAAGGGCTGGCCCGCGCTGACCAGGCAGGCAGAGCCCTCGCTAATGGCGTCATCGCTACAACCGCTGATGTACCAGTGGTGCGACCAGGCAGGCAGAGCCCTCGCTAATGGCGTCATCGCTACAACCGCTGACGTACCAGTGGTGGGGCAGCGCAGAGCGGGTGTGCTGATCCGGGAAGCGCGAGGGTCCCGCGGAAGAGCTGGAAGAGAGAGCTCTGGCTCTGCACCCTGACTCCGGAGAAGGGGCTCGAGGGCTGGGGGAAAGGAGACCGTCCCCCAGCAGCATGTAAACCCTGCGAGCTGGGAAGCGGCGCGTCCCAGACTGGCAGGGTTCGAGCTGTCACATCTGGGGAAGGGGAAAAGTGCTCTTTCATTGAAATTTTGGTGGCACTGAAAAGTACCGTTGGAATATGGGCATCTGACGCCGAACAGGCCAGCCTAGGATATGGGCGTGTCAATAAAGCGAACTTTGTCAACATCGCACATATCAGCCAGGTTTAGCCAGAGGGGGCGTTCCTGGACCACAAGTGTGGACATTGTCTTCCCCAGCGCACACACGGCAGACTTAGTAGTCTGGAGAGCATAGTCTGTTGCGGTGCGCAGCTTGTTAACAAGCCTGGGTT